CGGGCGGGTCGGGTTCGGGCTCGGGCAAATCCTCGGGCTTTTCGGGCGGTCGCGGGCGGCCCGTCCAAAGTTCCAGCACTACTTGTGTGTGTCTATATATATATATATTTATTTATTTATAATTTGAGAAAGAAACTGTTCAGGAAAATGACAATTTTTGTATACCTTTAATTTTTATTGCGTGTATGTATCCCCCTTTTCGGGCGGTCGCGGGCGGCCCGTCCAAAGTTCCAGCACTACTTGTGTGTGTCTATATATATATATATTTATTTATTTATAATTTGAGAAAGAAACTGTTCAGGAAAATGACAATTTTTGTATACCTTTAATTTTTATTGCGTGTATGTATCCCCCAGATTGAAGCCAGTTGGGAATGTCATGGCACATCATCATAACGATTATTGCCATATTGAGTGGCTTAATTCAAGTGAAGTTCCAGTCTAAAACTTCCTCGCCATTTGACGAACACCCCTGGATCATGGTCTCCTTTTTGTCCGTGATAATCGCCTACGGTGTCGTCGAATTCCTAGCCGATCATCAGACCCAAAACAATATTAATAATACAATACTAGTTGGGTTGGTGAAAGAAACCCGCCACAACTTGGGAGCTCTTGCTTGCATTTTCCTGCTGCACATCATCTCTCCCGTTCTTGGGTGGGTGATCACTTTCTTGTTTTCAATTTATGTACTCAAGAAATTAGCTTGTTATTATAACGTCGTCGACTATATTGTCACAATATTCACCGAGACAGTGAAAAATGCATTTTTAAAAATATGTGACAAGTACTTGAAACCAACGCCGGAGGATGAATCTCCAGTTTCAAACTGTTCAACGACGGTGGCCATGACGATGAAGGATCTGCAAGGACAAAGCATACTAGCAAGTATGACGTGATAGTTAAAGAAAATACTTCAAAAAATAAAAATAAAAATAAAGGAGAAAAAAGACGTGATAGAAAGTGAGATTGATGTAGGGAGATTTAGCTATTAGCAGTGGTTTTTATATTTTTATTGTCGTTTGTTTGCTTTGTTATTAATAGTCGTTTATCTTAATTGTTATTTTGTTATCATTTTTTATGTAAGCTATAACCAGCTACTTAATTATTGTATAAGGGGACTTGATAGTTGATATTGAATACAAAGTTTGAGTGTTTTCTCTCCAATTTGGAGATTTTCCGCTTATAGAGTTCTTTTAGGTGGATTGAAGAATCTTCAATCCGGATTAAGCCGGTAAAATCCCGTTTTCTTCTATTCCGCTGCATCAGAGATAATCTGATGCATGTGTTCGTTAATTTGGTATTTAATTACTGTTGTAAGTTCTGTTCACGTGATTTTTTACATGTCTCGTTTGATTGTTTTACATTCACTTCTTTTTGCATTTAAATGTTTCTCTCGCTTAATGTGAATTATAAGGTTTTTAATATAATGTGGCAGTCTAATCATGTGACCGAAGGCCTCGTTTATTTCACCGATCGATTCAAAATTTTAATTCTAATTTCACTATAGTTAAAAGCTCTTATAAAAAGTCACATTTAACTTTTTCTGCTACAGTTAAAAATTCTCACAGAAAATCACATTTTAACTTGAATTAAAAATCAGAATCGGTAAAATCAACAAGAACTAAGTATACATAATTATAACATTATGCGTAAAAGGAAACTGAGTACGTAGAAGTAGTAGCAAAGGCATTGCCGGATCTCCCTATTATTTCTGTAGTTCTTTTATCATTCATCATCATCATCATCATCATTACGGAAAATGCATCATATAGCATATTTTACTAATGCTAATAACTTTTCTTTTTTTAAATGCTGATGACAAATTATAGCATATCTTCAATTTTCATTCTAAAACAAATTATTCTTTTCCAAATTTATCCTTTTAGGGTGAGAAACAAAAGAAAATCAATACCATGCCAAATGAAACGCTCCGTAGAACTTATAAGCACCGAACGGCAGTGCTACGTACTTTCATTGTATGAAAGATATGCTTAATTATAACCTGGAAATGAAAGCACAAAAACTAGAAGGATTGATTAATTAGAACATTGGCGCATAAAACAAAATAGAAAGTAGCATTGCAGTAATTCTTAAGCTATACAAATACAGATCTGATGATAAAAAGACAAATCAAAGCACAAAGAAAATTATAATCATGATCATAATATATAGGATCAGTCTAAAAGAAGTTGGGGTCATAGCCATTGCTAGAAGTGGCCAAAATGTAGTAAGCCACAATATGGCCAATGGAGCCCCAAGCCAAGACATCAACAATATTGAACCCAACAGGGTCGTTTGACTTGAGCAAGTTCACGTACTCCTGAGCCCTCGTGTCGCCCGCCTCGAAGTGCGTGACGCCATTCTGCTCCGGCAGGCCTTGTTTGGCCACGTTCTCTCTTTGGAAGTTGAAGAAGACGAACCTGCCTAGGAAGAGGGAGAGCCCGGTGCTGAGGCTGATCACGAGGGACGGGTTGAGCTCGGCCTTGATGGCGGCGGAGCGGGGGCGGCGGAGGGCTAATTTGGTGGTGGTAGTGGTGGCGGGGAGGGAGAGTTTGGTGCCCTTAAGGCCTTGGAACGAGATGTTGGATGGCGTGAGTTGTCTTGTCCTTTGGAGGGTGGTTGTGGAGGAAAAGAGGGAGATTGTTGAGGCTGAAGTTGCCATTTTTTGGGATTTGGAAAATGGCACAAGAATGAATAAACAAAGATATGGTATTTGGGATTTTGAAGATTAAGAGAAAAAAGTTGTATAGAAAGATGGAGAAACAATTACTTTTAGTGATGAGGAGAGAATGGCATCTCCAAAGATTTGTGAGGATGGGAGAGGTGCCATAAAGATTTTGCTGAGTTGGGCTACTTTCATTCGTTGGTTTTGGATTAGAGATTTTTGGTTCGGTTTCTGCATGGTCCCACAAGATAACGCAGTGTTTTAAAGAAAAATCAAGTTTAAAGACATGAATAAAACAAGTGGATCCGTGGCGCAATGGTAGCGCGTCTGACTCCAGATCAGAAGGTTGCGTGTTCGATTCACGTCGGGTTCAATTCCCTTTAAATAGATCCAATTTTTTTCTTTTTCTAATTTATATTTATATATAAGTATTATTTTTTTTCCGGTAAATAAGTGTCCTCGCAGTAGATCTATTCTTTTTGTTTTTTAATCTAGAATCCACCCTTTCTTTTTTTCTCAAATGTAATTATTATGATATAGCATTTTTTTCCTCTTTGTTTACTTTCATCTAACGGTGACATTTTGGGTCGGTGGGCATGCTCGAGGCCTGAAATTTTTAGGCTCGGCGGGTAGGGACCCATGGCCGCCCATCTATGCACTAGGGCGGGCTCGGCCTCAGGCTGCCCGAGAAACAACACCATGGCGGAAGCCCGCCGTCGATTTGCCCGTCCCAACTGTCGACAACTGATTTTTTTTATTTTTTTCCCTCCGGCTCGAATTTAAGCCTAAATACCCGAATTGCCCGAAACCCACCCAATGGCCAGTTTTTCAAATTTTTCACCCGACCCGCCACCCGAGAGCCAGACCTCCAATAGCTCTTTTTTAGACTGTTGCCCGATTTTCGACCCAAACCCGACACGCCGAATTTGAAAGTAGCCGTTGGATCCAAATTTTTGGGGGAAAAATCAATTTTTTAACCCAAAAATTTTTCTATAAATACCTCTCATCTCCCCAAACATTTTCCTCACCAAAACTCTCTCAATCTCTCTCAATTTCTCTCAATCTCTCTCAATTTCTCAAATCTCTCACAATTTTTCCAAAAACTTACACAGCATCCTAAAGCTCTCTCTCTCAAATCTCTCTCACAAATTTTATATAATGGATTTTTTTAGTTATGGTGATATTCCTATTGATGCCCCAATCCAACAGAATGTGGAAAGGCAATTTCCTACTAACGAATTTATTAGTAGGAATCGCAAACACAACCAACTAAGAAACCTGCAAATCTGAGCCATGGTGGACGTAGTGGAGGTCGTGGTCGCAATGGTGGTGGGCGTGGAGGAGAGGCAAGTGCAAGTGCTACTGCAAGTGTTGCAAGCTCCAAGAGGAAATGTAAGCGCACCTCAACAGTTTGGGAGCACTTCGACACAATTGAGGAGGTCGACAATGACGGTAATACTAAACACATAGCTCAATGTAAATATTGCTTTTCTAAATTATAAGGTGACACTATTCACAGCACAACACACTTAAGATGACACTCTGAAATGTGTCTTCAAAAGCGTGGCCAAACCGGCGAAGCCGAACTCTGTTAAACACAATTATCTTTTGATCGCACAACCGGTGGTCTAACCACTTGGAAATACGATCCGTAAGTAGATCGTATGGAAGTTGCGAGAATGATTGCTTCATTATATCAACCACTTAGTTTTGTAAAGCATCCGAATTGGCAGTGATATATTAAAGTGGTACATAATCATAATGCACAGTTTACTTCAAAAACTACTCTTAGGAAAGATTTGTTAAAAGTATTTAAACAAGAAAAATAAGCATTAATAAACCTTTTACACTCTACTAGCAGTTGCATTGCATTAACGGCAGACATTTAGTCTGCCATTGCCAACAAAGATTATTTATCTGTAACCGGACATACTTTAAAGGCTTCGAGTTAGATAAGAGAATATTATGTTTTAAATGTGTTCTAAAATCACATAGCGCCGATTTAATTTATAATATAATTTTAAATGTAATTGATGAATATAGATTAAGAGATAAAGTGATGACTATAATATTAGATCATGCTAGTGCAAATACTAAAGTAATTGAATATTTTGAAAATTATTTAAGTTTATTCGGTGATGGTGATATTTTTCACCAACGTTGTGCATACCATGTAATTAATTTAATAGATATATCTGGTTTAAAATCAATGGTTATTCATGTTATAGCAATTAGAGATAGTATTACATGGATTCAGGGTAGTAACTCAAGACAACAAGATTGATTTAGGCTCTTACAAGCACTAAATCTAACTCCTAGAACATTAGCCCTAGATATGCCTGTAAGATGGAACTCAACTTATGTAATGTTTCAACAATGCATCCCCTATAAGGATGCTATAACAAACTATATCAATGCAAAATTAGGAGTATGACACATAGACGCATATGATTGGCAAATTGTCGAAATTTTGTACTAATTTTTAGGTAGGTTTTAAGAAGTTACTTTAAAACTTAGTGGAACATATTACCTAACATCACTTTTAGCTTTAGGTGAACTTTTAAGAATGAGTATTTTATTTAGTGAATTTAGGAAGGACCCACTTTTAGCAGTTCCTATAGCTTCTATGGAAAAGAAATTTTAAAAATATTGGTCTAAATTACCAATGTTGTACGGTTTCAATACTATTTTTGATCCTAGATTAAACTTAGAAGGTTTAGAAAGTGGTTTAGAAAATTAGGTGAATTTTTAAGCATCAATTGTTCTGACCAATTTTTGAAAATAAAGGAAAAAATATTTTCTCTCTATAGCAAATATGAGAATAGGTTTAGAAATACAAATTCTGGAGTACAAGAACCGCAACAAATAGATGAAAACTCGCATTCATTCATGAATGTTTTCGGGTTGAAGAAGAAGAAGACGACAACTCAAACAGAAGCTGAGAGTGGATCTTCACCAAGAGGTGGTGGCAGCGGTGGCGGCTTCAACGAGCTTATGGCGTACCTCAACGAGAGCTTAGTAGTCGACGATAGTGGACAATTGTTTGATTTAGTTCAATGGTGGAGGGCACGAGCATTAACTTAGCCAGTCCTAACTCGAATGGCAATGGATATTTTTCCGATCTCAATCTCCACTGTTTCATCCGAACAAGCCTTCAGTACGACCGGACGAATACTCGAGGAATGCCCAAACACATTGCAAAGGGGCATTGTAGAAGCTTTGGTGTGCATTAAGGATTGGGAACATGCCGATCAACGCTTACAAAACACAATTTCGCCTGTAAGCCAAGAATGGATAGATGAATTTAATAGATTAACATTTCGCTTTGAAAACGATCATTCAGCTTCAAATTAAATTGTAATTTGTAAATATTTATTTTCTTTGGACATTGTAAGTTTGTAAAATTTATAATTCGTCACAAAATGATTGCACTCTTTATTCCTTATCAAGATTTTATCCTAATTGAGTTTTTCTTGGTAAGATTTTTAACGAGACAATCGTGAATTACAAATTTAAAAAGTAATATACAAAATTAATTTTTTAAATTGTGTTAATAGTGTGTGTTGATTTTAGTTTTTATATAATTTTAACACAAAATAACTTAATAATTATTTATATACAAATTAATAAATAATAGGAAATTAATAAATAATGGTATATTATATATAATATATATATACAATATTAAAAAATATAATAAAAATATATTTTTTTCGGACAATTCAGGCAGGCTCATGCTACCCGACCGGGCTCGGGCATTCAAAACAAAGCCCGTGGCCAGTCCAAGGGTATTTTCGGGCTCGGACGGGCGGTTTGAATTCTTCGGGTGGACGGGTTCAGGTGTCAGGCTCAAATTTAATTTTTTTGGACAGTCACGGACGACCCGTCCAAAATTTCAGCACTACTTTCATCCTTATTTCTAATTTTCTTTATATATAATTTCTCTTTTTCCTTACTTAAGATTAAGATCTTGCTTTAACCAATTACCAAACTTAGTGGGTAGATTTTTCTGTTAGCCGGCAAAATTACAAAGAGAGAAATTGAGGTTTAGAAGCAGAGAATTGTAGCAAACAAAGAAATTTAAAAAAGGAGAAGCAATTGTAATTCAGTCAATTTAGGTCAAAGAAATCGACCAAACTTCATTTGACAAGTTCCCACGAATGCCGAAACACATTGCAAAGGGGCATTGTAGAAGCTTTGGTGTGCATTAAGGATTGGGAACATGCCGATCAACGCTTACAAAACACAATTTCGCCTGTAAGCCAAGAATGGATAGATGAATTTAATAGATTAACATTTCGCTTTGAAAACGATCATTCAGCTTCAAATTAAATTGTAATTTGTAAATATTTATTTTCTTTGGACATTGTAAGTTTGTAAAATTTATAATTCGTCACAAAATGATTGCACTCTTTATTCCTTATCAAGATTTTATCCTAATTGAGTTTTTCTTGGTAAGATTTTTAACGAGACAATCGTGAATTACAAATTTAAAAAGTAATATACAAAATTAATTTTTTAAATTGTGTTAATAGTGTGTGTTGATTTTAGTTTTTATATAATTTTAACACAAAATAACTTAATAATTATTTATATACAAATTAATAAATAATAGGAAATTAATAAATAATGGTATATTATATATAATATATATATACAATATTAAAAAATATAATAAAAATATATTTTTTTCGGACAATTCAGGCAGGCTCATGCTACCCGACCGGGCTCGGGCATTCAAAACAAAGCCCGTGGCCAGTCCAAGGGTATTTTCGGGCTCGGACGGGCGGTTTGAATTCTTCGGGTGGACGGGTTCAGGTGTCAGGCTCAAATTTAATTTTTTTGGACAGTCACGGACGACCCGTCCAAAATTTCAGCACTACTTTCATCCTTATTTCTAATTTTCTTTATATATAATTTCTCTTTTTCCTTACTTAAGATTAAGATCTTGCTTTAACCAATTACCAAACTTAGTGGGTAGATTTTTCTGTTAGCCGGCAAAATTACAAAGAGAGAAATTGAGGTTTAGAAGCAGAGAATTGTAGCAAACAAAGAAATTTAAAAAAGGAGAAGCAATTGTAATTCAGTCAATTTAGGTCAAAGAAATCGACCAAACTTCATTTGACAAGTTCCCACTAATTCAATGGACTAATAAAACTTCACATACTAAAACAGCCACAATAGACATCCTTTGTCCCCTAAACTTCTTTTTTTTCTGGAACTATCAATGCCTTACTAGCTTTCTGTACATTACTACCCTTTTCGAACACTCGAGCCAAGAAAGAAAGAAAGAAAGAACCCCCACAAATGGAAACAAAAGAAAAACCCGAGTTACAATTGCATAACATCACTAGAGATCTAAAAGTTTTTTACACTCAAATAAGAGAGTCTAGATATGTGTAGTTCCTGTGTCTACCATACTCGAGAAGACTACCGTAAGTGCGGTCCCACACCCCAATGAAAAGCGACTCGGTGTCTGGACTGAACGATATGCCAGATATCTCGCCGAAGAAGTCGATTTCCTGTTCCTTCTCGTACCCGCTCTTCACGTCGTAGACGTGCACGAAATCCGCAGGCTCTGCCATTGCCAAGTAACAACCGTCGGAGGTATAGCGAAGTGAGCGAATAGCTCCAAAGTTGCCCTTTAGGACGGCAACTGACCTGGAAAGATTTCGGACGTCCCAAATTTGGCAGGTCTTGTCCTGGTTTCCGGTGGCAAAAGTGACACCATCAGGGTGCCATGAGGACGCGAATGAGAAATCCAAGTGTCCACACAAGGGCATCACTGTCTGCGAGAGAAAAAAAAAAATGAACTCAAATCAGAAGAAGCTCTAGATGCATTGAAACATCACCAAAATCTTGGACAAAATTCCAAGTACCTTTCCAGTTTGGGAGTCCACCACCATACCATCTGGATTGTCTCCAACAATCACCAGAAGTTTACCGTTCGGACTCAGAGAAGTATGCTGAAAATATGACACAACAAAGAGGTTGAGCAAATGATTTCTATAAATAACACTGGTGAATGTATTTTCAATTTAGAATAATCTCTCTTTCTGTCTCTCTCTCTCTCCAAATGATTTCTATAAATAACACTGGTGAATGTATTTTCAATTTAGAATAATCTCTCTTTCTGTCTCTCTCTCTCTCCAAATGATTTCTATAATTAACACTGGTGAATGTATTTTCAATTTAGAATAATCTCTCTTTCTGTCTCTCTCTCTCTCTCTCTCTCTGGAATTCTCAATTTTCCTTCCCTTGGTCTCTAATCTCAATTGCTTCTGTTTTTCCATCTCTTCTCTTACTTGGTTCTACATTAATAACACAGACAAACAGAAAGACAAAACAAAACAACATATGAAAGTTGAATGATGAGATTCATGCACATGAATTATATGATGCACTCACGCACCATAGCAAGTTGCAGCTCAAAAATATTAAAACAAAATAATAATCGAGCATTGCCATGTTGGCCCCACAAAACTGGATAATGCAATAAGGACTCACATTTACTGGCCAAGGAAAGCGGAAGTGATTAGAAAGCTGAAATTTCTCCATATCAAAATCTCTGACTCCACAGTCATTATTAGACGATGTGAAGTGAACAGCACCACTGATTTGAAAAAAAAAAAAAATGAGAATAATCAGGCTCACATTTGAAGACGAAAAAGATAAGATTAAGGTTAAAAGCAAATAGAAGGTAGGAATTGACCACCTGCGACTCGCATAAATCTCAACAGCATTTGTTATGGCATTATCATCGTAAGTTGTCTTCGAGCAATAGCTGACTCCAGGCCGATCAAGATGCTACATTCAATTTAAAAGGAACAATCTTCATACTTTCCATTCATACATCTTTCAAAAAGCAACTAAAATTGTTCTTAGCAAACTGATACCGAGGTAACCAGTAATAAAACTGTAGAAGAGACTACAGCATCTGTTATTAAACCTTGGATGTGCTACTCATCTTATACGATTATCATTTTCCCTAATCACTCAAGAATTTACTTTGTATAAACTCACCTTGCAAATAAGTTCCCCTTGAAACCCTCCAGCAACTAGTAGCTTATCTTTAACAGCAAGAGTACTAACTTGAGTTTGTGAAAATCCTTCCAACAAGCTTCCAGGATGTTTCTGCACAGGAAACTTAGTTGCTTAATTTGACATAGAAACATGGCCAAAAATAGAATGATTTCTCTTTTCTTTTCAACATTCCAAAGTCATTTCTTTGAAACCCGAAAAAATTGACGAGAAGCACTCACCTCCGAAGGTGCCACGTGCCCTGAAACATTGAGAACTTCAGACTTGGCTAAAGCTAATGACGACCAATGAATGACAGAAGAATGTGACATAAGGTACACATCATGTTTTGAAGTAGCCCAGACCAAGTTCCTCAACTGCAACACCAAACCGAAATTTAAACATCAACCACACCATATCAGTCCCTTTTTTCGAAAAGGTGCCAGCCATAACACCCACTTTTGCTTTTCCCAATATGGGTCCACATTATAAAAAGCATAGTGTGTAAAAGTGCAAACTTGCAATCAGCAAACCTGGAAATGGAGAATGGTCGACTTCACTGATCTTGCATTTCTTCTGAACTCATAGTATGTAGAGCCTTTCTCAGTAATTTTGCAATCCTGCTTACAATGGAAAGTAAAATTTTCACCAAAACTATTATGGCATATCATAATTGAGAATTAAACATTTTCTGCATAGCTCCAAACCTAAAATAAAAACATACATACACAGTAAATGACAACATATAACAACTTTTACCTTTCCCGACCCCTCTCCAGAATGAGGGATGTTTTCATAGTTCTTATACTGTTCTAACCTAGTCTGCCGATATTTCTCTCTTGTAATGCTAAGCCTCTCCCAAGGAATGCCCTGTATGTCTTTTCCTCCTCTAGCTTGCACGGCAGTAGTATCGGCTATTTTACTATTCTGCACAACAATTTATCTCGTCATTTCTAGCTATAGACAAATTCCAAAACTCTATGCAAGTTCTAAAAAGCAAACAAATTACACCTAATGAAGCTTATTAAAAGAAAGTTAACTACAGTACGAGGTAGAAACAAAAACCACATGAGTTATATTGTCACCAACCGAAAATTCAAATTCATCAATATCAGAATCTGAGCTGCCAATATCTCTATCACGAAACTCATCATCCATGTCATCATCTACATCCTCCATATCATACTCATCCACAGCATAATCGGCATCTTCCCCCTGATAATGAGCCATACTCTTCCTAACAAATCCAGACCTACATGACGAAATTCAAACAATATAATCGAGCAATCAACGAAAAAGATTGCAACTTGTCAAGCCATTACAAAAATGTAACCGAACAAACAAGTAAACCAAAATACTGCACGCTTGACATAATCAAAACAGCCCTGATCCTGATCAGCAGCTAATTTATGCATCATAATAACAAAATGCATATCCCAGAATAAAAGATAATTTTTTTTTCACCTATTAAAGACTGTTGGAGCAAAAACTAAGCAAACTTTGCACCTAAATTTGCTAAGATGAACAATAAAATAAAAATCAAAGAAGGAAACTAACAAACCCATCAAGCTAAAATCAAAAAACAAAATTTAAAAAAAAAAATCTTCAAAATCTAAAAAATTAAGCTAAAATCAAACTAACAAACCAATCAACTAAAACCAAAAACCAAAAAATTAAAAGCAAAAAACATCAAAATCTAGGAAATTAAAACTATAAAACATAAACTACAAAGAAACAAACAAAGAATGAACCAATTATCAAACTACCGAGACATGCAAATCAACAATCCCGTCATCCAAACAGAAAGATAAAAGCTTTTTGTTCCGATTAACAATTCTAAACATACAAAACCATCTATCAAGAACATTTACCACCGAAAGAAAAGAATGAAAAATACCAAAAAGATCAAATAATCAATAAATATGAAAAAGATTCCTTTCTTCTGCAAATAATCATAAAAAAAGGAAATTGAAATTGAAAAACCACTGTAACAGAAAATTTTTCTTCAAAGAGAAACAAAATTACACTCAAAAGAAAATAAAGTCGGATTAAGCCCAAATCAATCCAATAATACACCCAAAAAAAATTAAAATACATAAACATAAAAACTTAATCTGTTTGAACTATAAATTCAATCAAAAGAAAAAATGGAGAACGCAAAATCAAACGAAATTCATAAACAAATTCACCATTTTTTTAATTTTCTTGCCAAAGAAAAACGAGAAATTGAAACCAGAAGAGACGAAAACAAAATTAACCTTTTTTTGCAGATTTTCAAGCCTCGAATCGTAATTGAAGGAAGCTAAGGAATTGGGAAATGGAAACTTTCTGAAGAAGAAAACAAGTTGGGAGAGACGAGCAAGTATTTATGTGGTTTGGATCGGGAGGATGTTTATTAGAGGATTCATTATCTGATTTAAATTATGATTTACAATTCGTTATAATATTTATTTTTATAAAAAATATATATAAATTAAAAATAATTTGAATCACGTGATTTAGAGCTCGGTAAAAAAAATGAGAAATACGCAAATTTTTTTCTTTTTTATTCTTTTTGGTGAATTTATTTTTCTTTCTCGCTTTTATAAAATTAAATAATACTTTTTTTGATAACTTGAAAATGTTATTTATTATTATTTAAACTACTTCCTATTTATCCTTTAAATTATAAAAATTACTATTTTTAAGTTATTTCAATACTTTCAACAATTAATTATTTAAAAGTTAACCTAATATGATAAGTTATATAATTTTTAAGCTTTTTATTTTTTTTAACTTAATGCGAAAGTGTAATATAATACTCAATAATGATAAATTATGAGTACACATAAAATAAAAATAATGTTACATATATATAAGTTAAAAGGAAACCGACACATGAAATAAGTGTTGTTGTCGTCATCTTTTACCCAAAACAAAAAACAAAAAACAAAAAAAGTGTTGTTGTCGTCATGCATGTTGAACGACGTAGCGTTTTAGGAAGTGCAAGTGATGGTCAAGTGGCATTGTCGTTTGCAACTTGAAGCTGCGTTACACAAGACAAGATAGGCCTTTTATTTTTTTTCTTTTTCTTCTTTTTTTTTTTCCTTTTTGAAATTAGATAGGATCATAGGAATAGCTTGTGTTGAGAAACTAGGAAAAAAGAATTCTTTTTGTACGGCATAAGGGAAAAAAAAGGAAATTCTATCATTCTTAATTCTCCGCAATTTTAGGCCATTTAGGAAGACCAGATTATATATTTTAATTGGTTATAGGTACATAGACTTCGTTTATTTTATTAATTTGAGTTTTCAATTTTAAATTTGTACAGTAAAAAACTCTCAAAAAATGTCATATCTCAACTCGAATTAAAAACTCGAATCCGCGAAGTGAACGAGGCCATAGTATTCATAACTTATTACATTTTTTTGCAAAAAAAATTATTTATTTGTTTATTATTTATTCATTTTACACCATTTTATTTTTGCTCAAACATTTATATTTTGCACGCTTAATGGTAAGTGACAAATCTTACCTAATAGGCCACAATGAATTAATGTTAGTTTTTTCATACAGAAAAGGATAAGAATTAATTATAATTTTATAATAAGATAAAACGTCTAGATATCGTTTTTTATGCTGAACGACATGGTGTTTAGAAAGTGCAGCAGAAAGCGACAGGTAGTTTGTTAAACAAGACAAAAGACACGTTTATCACAAGAGACATTACACGCTCCCTCTCTGATGTCTCCACGTGTCACTGTTATACGCCACGTCATCGTCTTCTACCTCCCAAAAGTCTTCCCCCCCAACCCCCAAGTTAACTTCCATTTCCGAACTTCTGTTTGTCTCCCTGTAAAAAGTCATTTTCTCGAGAAAATTCAACTTCATCCACGAAAAAGGGCAGAAAAAAATCAGAAGAAGAAGCTACTGGACCTAATTATTGGCCGAGCTTCCGGTTTCTCCTTTCGCCCTGACTTCAACTTCTCAACTTCCGTTTGATTCCCTGGAAAATTTTCAAACATTGACGAGAAAATTCATCAATAAGAGAAATTGCAGAGCCGAGCTGGTATTTTCATCTCCGGAAAATCAACGGATAGAGCTGTGCCACACTCCCAACTTCCGTGGAAAATTCTCTAATTGTCTCGAGGGAAACAAAAACCTGGTATTATTTCGTCTCTAGAATTTCACCTTCACATGAAATTGAATTAACCGCAGAGCCATGGCTATGTTGCTGAGAAAAGTATTGGCATCGATGTCGAACCGCTCGCTCTCGAACGGCGACTCATCGGAACGGAATCGCCTCTCGAGTTCTTCGTCGTCGTCGTCGTCGCTGGGAGCTTTCGATCAGATTCCGTCGGATATTCTGATGCAAATCGTGAAACTTCTCGGCCCAAAGGAAGCCGCCATGATGAGTACCGTCTCCAAGTACTGGAAGTCCTTAGTCTCCGACGATCGCCTCTGGATTTTCTTCCTCCAGAACGACCAAGACTTGTCCGATTCCGTTTTCTTCGCCGAAATCAACCTCAGATCCGGTTATCCCCTTGAGTAAAATCCTCTCATCACCTTTTCTGCAGTCTTAATACCAGGAATTTGCTTAATTTAGCATGATTAAGTGTCTTAATAGCATAAATTTGTTTAATTTGCTCATATTTTGCTTAATTGAGCTATGATTATAGCAATAATTCTGCTTAATTTAGCTATGATTATAGTGTTTTAATTCATAAAGGTTGAAGCTTTCCTGCTTTGTGCCATAAACTGGTGAAAACATAGTGGAAATTTGACGTGGTTTGTCGGAGAAATATTTTAATTAATACAAGGAATTTTGTGAAAATTCTTTGCTTGCAGAGCATTCTCCCAGTTGTCCTTCATGAGAATATACAGTCAGCGAATGCAAGTTCCGGGTTCGATCATCATTGATGGTAATCACTAAACTCATCATGCCAGAGAATTGTGACATTGCCTCATATTACCCTTTTCCTCTGCTGTTTATGCCACTTTTTATTTCTGGGTCCTTAGTACCTAGTTCAAACAAAGAATTATCACTTTTTTATTAGATTGAAACAAAAATATGATAGTTTTTCTAGATGGATGGATACTTTTCCAATTTACCGTCTTAGCTCCAACGAAGTTTTTCCAATTTACGTAGTTTTGCATTTCAAACGAATCATAATACTTGTATCCACAACTACAGTTCGAGTGATTGATCTTCATTCATAATTATGTGCCTCATATTCTCTCTCTCTCTCTCTCTCTCTCTTCGTTCTTCGGAAGGTGGCTCTGGCTACTGCAAGTTTGGGTGGAGCAAGGATGTCTGTCCATCCGGCCGCTCAGCAACATTTTTGGTGAGGTGTTTGTTTTAGCTCGGAATTCTGAAAACCTCTTATAGAAAGTTTGGTGCACTTTTTTCCCCAAAAGATGGATTCTTTTGCTACATCTTTTATGAAATTATCCCACATGCAGGAATTTGGTAATATCGAGTCTCCCATGTCTTCCAGACTGAGGCAGTTCTTTTCCATTATTTACAACAGGTTATTTTTTCTACATCCATTTTACAAAACATGAAAATAAAATGTGAAATAAGTTTGACTTCTTCTGTGACTTCATATAGCAATTTCTTTTTAAACCTGAGCGTTTCAATATTTCTGAATCTCACCTACATGTATGCCTTTTCGGATATGAGTCTGCATATATGTTTGATAAGTCTATTGTGTGTTTTTACAGGATGCAGGTGAAAGCAGCAGCGCAGCCAGTGGTTGTGTCCATACCAATCTTGCATTATGATGGTCAGCTTCTAACTAATATTTTTCTTTTGGATGCTATCTTTCGTACCCTTGTGTTAGTGAGGTTGCATCACTATTAAAATTAAACATAGCTGCTGGTTTATGGCGTTTATCCCTTTTCTTATTGTCATTTCAAGCTTTTACCATTGCTAATTGTACGACTCTTTGACTATAAAGATTTTGGATCATACCTCCCAGTCTTTATGGATAGAGGAAGATGGCATCCCTGCATGCTAAGATATTTCTACTCATTGTTAGACTTTGAACTCGTATACATGCCTAAAGTCACTTGGAGTATCAGTCTAATCTTGTAATGCTTGATCAATTTCCTGTGCATTACAACATTTTCTAGATCTAAATATTAAAGACAGAAATGTCTTTAGGGGGGAAAGATTGTCTCGCTGCTGAAGAATGGTCTTTTAGATAAAATTTCTTGCTACAACCAGAGAATGTCCAATGATGTTTTTTTCATTTTTTATGCTTTCCCGTGCATCACCTCCAAGATGTACAATTTTTCTTTTGTACAATATGGTAACTGTTCTTTTATTTATTTATTGCAGATACTGAATCGGCCAAAGCATCAAGACGACAGCTAAAGGAAGCCATTTATGCAACACTGTTTGACATGAATGTTCCTGCTGCATGTGCAATTAATCAGGTAAGCTCTTCTATGCCTTAACTTATGTTGGTGGTCAACGCTCTCTAAAGAATGAAAAGAAAGAAGATTAATTTCAAGCAAAACTCCATATGGCGTGCGAGGCCATATTCTTGCAATAAATTGCACCTCATAATTTTTGTGAATAACTTATTTTGAGACCTGGTTCCAGCAGTCATGATAATAACTGGAAGTTAGTTGGTTAAGTGATTGTTTAGTTGTTGTGCTTGTTAGTATTTTCTTAAGCAGTTAGTTGATAGTTTGTTGGAGGGGTTAGTATATAAAAGGGAAAGGTTAGTAGTCAGGGGATGAGGGATTTAATGAGTGTGAATTTGGGGAATGGGAGAGCTAGCAGTCCTCTCGAAAGTCTGCGAATCTATCTTGTAATCATGTTTCGGTCTTGTTTTCAATAATAAAATTTATCGGTTCTTATCAAGTCACTCCACATTTGCCTCATCTAGACTTTCCTAGGATAAGGGAGCTTCTGTAATCAAGGTTTTCTAACTCCGTGTTCTTGCTTACTTGGTTCACAATCATGAAGATGTACCAAATCCGCAAACTAACTCTACTAGCTAAAAGTGCCTTATGCATGTGTGGTCTGTTTTATCAGTAATTTGGATGGATTTTTCTTTTAGCACGTAATGAGTCGAATTATTCTTTTGTAATAGTTGATTTTGTCATCGCATCTCACGCATTATATGTTTTTTAAACTATAGGCAACTTTAGCTTTGTATGCAGCAAGAAGAACGTCAGGAATTGTTGTAAATATTGGGTTCCAGGTCACATCAGTCGTTCCGAGTAAGCAGTCCTAATTTTTTGTTTCCATCTTCTGTATGGTTTTGAATATAATAGGTTCCCTATATTGTGCCTCAACTCACACTTTATGCCTATTAAGGTCTAATAATCGATAGGTATTACCATTTTCCATTAGTATACCTTATTTTCTCTGCATTGTAACTAATATATTGCACTTTAATCTCTCTGTAGTTTTAGTTGGTCTCAATATGTATAGCCTCTATCATTCTTCGTATGCCATAGTTAACTTGGTGGCCTTGCTTTCTGCTTTTTTATTCTTGCTCTCTTATTTTCATCCGCTGGAATTTCTAAGTAGCTATTTTCTTTTTGGCAAAGTTTATACTGATATTCTCGCTTCTGGTCTCGTGTCTTGAGCATATGTGATTGTTGGGGCTCTGAATTCATACTTCTTTTTCTTTCCAGTTTTACATGGTAAAGTAATGCGCAAAGTGGGTGTGGAAGTTGTTGGAGTTGGAGCACTAAAACTAACTGGGTTTCTTAGGGAGCTGATGCAGCAGAATAATATCAATTTTGAATCACTGTACACCGTCCGCACATTGAAAGAGGTAGAGGCGTTATCTTTTCTGTAGTGCAGAATGCAATGACCGGTTTTTGAATATTTATCCTTATTTTATCAGACATTAAGGTCTCCTCTTTTCATTCTTGCTTATGCACCATTGTGACTCAGAAATAAACACCTACTCTTGTCCTAACTCATAGGTTTTTAGATCTTGTTAGATCTAAACTCATCAGGATGTCTCTGAATACTAGGCTTTTTGGCTATATGTTGGTTGCTAGTTTTGATTCTCAACTTGGCCGTCCAATGTTCTGGCGATTCATTACTACATCCTGACGCATAGCCAAGGGAGAAGAAATAGAATTGAGATAAGTGTAATAGAACCAATAGAGATTAGAGAACCAAAGGACTACACAGAAAGAAGGAGAACTCAAGAGGAGGAAAATTTGAGACTCAACTGGTCCCAGTTGAAAATACGATCACTAGGCCTACTTGTAGAGAAACAAAATAAAATAGTGGGAAAAATTGAACCTAATAATGAGATACACTTAGCTAAACCCCTGAATAATATTTTATTAGATAAATATTTTAAATTCCTGGTATATATCTTGTTCCTCATCATATCCACTGTACTACTGCTTCCGTGAACACCACCAGTACCATGCAACAATTTCCTAGAGGACAAGTCTTCTTAAGCTATCACAACCATTCATCTGAATTTAAAGATCTTCCTAAAAAGTACTCTTTTTGTCACGATCTACCAAATTACTGATAGGATCATCTGATTAGTATTCTTTATTTTTATTTGAATATTGGCATGTTGAATGAAGTTGAGTGATATCTTTATCACTATTTTCCATGCAGAATCTATGCTACGTTGCTTATGATTATGATGCTGAGCTACTTAAACATACACAAGCATCATTTGAAGCCACAGCAGAAGGTTGGTTTACTCTATCAAAAGAGCGCTTTCAAACAGGGGAGATCTTGTTCCAGCCAAGAATGGCCGGAGTGTAAGTCCTGGACCTTCTAGTACTTGTATGTATGTGTATATCACCAATGTCATTGAGATATTGTAAAACTCTTCCGTCTATTTTATTTGGAGGATCTCTAGAGATGCTTTTAGGAATGATTCAGATCACGCAGAGTGACAGTCACTGAACAGATTCAATAGGGGG